GGCGCCTTAGCCGGTTAAGCTATAGGCGCCGAGCCCCAGCCTCAGTTTTTAAGTCTATAAAACAGAAGTATGGAAGTAGATATTTATGCTGCCTTTCAATTCCAGCACCTCCTATGTGAAAAAAATTACACATAGTTGTCAGTTTATAGAAGATTGTATATAACCAGGAAATAGACGATGAGTGATAGGGATTATAATTCAGTGTATTTCAAAGAATCTAAATAATTGGTCAGGACTAAACCACATATGGTTTTGTAAAGCTAGATGTAGGGAATTATAACTGTTAAAGAAAAACAAAGTATATCTGTTAAAGAAAAACTATTTTAAAAATGCCTTCAAAAATGTAAGAATTAATAGCTAAATAAAGCATAACAAAGATATTAAGTCAGTAAGAAAATAATATATAAAAATGATGAAATTGTATATTAAAACCAGCACATTGTACCCCATGATTGCATTAATGTACACAGCTATGATTTAATTAAAAATAATAATAGAGGGTGGTGCCTGTGGCTCAAGGAGTAGGGTGCCAGCCCCAGATACTGAAGGTGGGGTGGTGGGTTCAAACCCAGCCCTGGCCAAAAAACTGCAAACAACAAAAAAATAATAATAAAATTAAAAGATGAGGTTCTCTGATTAAACTCAGTACCTTTATATATTTGGTCATCCTCTATGAACACTAATTTCTTTTGTTTTTACTAATTTCTAAATCTACCATTTTTTTCTCTTTATTTAGGAAAGGGGGCATCAAAAAAACAAGCCAAGAGAAATGCTGCTGAGAAATTTCTGGCCAAATTTAGTAATATTTCTCCAGAGAACCACATTTCTTTAGTGAGTAATGTTCAGACAGCTATAATATTAATATGATAAAACATCTCTTGCTGTAGGATTTTTTTCTTGATTTCTTATTGTATAGATACTACAGTGTTTCAATTTTTAAAAAATCTCTTCATTGTTCAGTTATACACCATCCCACTTTTTAATTGCTTGTGAAATGTGAGGCAGGATCACAGGGGTAACCGGGTAAGAGGTCTTAGAAAACATAGTCAAATTCAAAATAATAGGATCTTATCCAGATGTAAAGATGATAAGCCAGTAGTGCCATTTTTTGCATTCAGAGTGACAGCGCATTCACATCCCTTCATTTAGTCACTCAGCAAACATTCAGTGAGCTCATACTGCATGCCAAGTTTTGTGCCCAGCCCTGGAATATGGTGAATAAGCAGTCTCTGCCCCTAAGGAATTTAGAGCCTACGGACAGAAGAGGAAGAACCCTTCAGACTGGTCCTTAAAGAGGATGATGTGGGGACATAAGAAAAGGCATCCAAGCAAGACTGAGGGCTTAGGAATGGCTTCCAGGAGGAGGTCATGTCTAAGCCAGGACCTGTAGGACTAGAATGGAGGAAAAGGATTCCAGAGGGAGAAAGAACATGTAGAGGCTCGGCACCCATAGCACTGTGGTTTCAGCACCAGCCACATACACCTAGGGTGGCTGGTTTGAACCTGGCCTGGGCTAGCTAAACAACGAGAACTGCAACAAAAAATAGCCAGGCATTGTGGCGAGTGCTTGTAGTCCCAGCTACTTGGGAGGCTCAGGCAAGAGAATCACATAGCCCGAGAGTTGAAGGTTGCTGTGAACCGTGACGCCACGTCACTCTACCAAGGGTGACATAGTGAGACTCTTTCTCTACAAAAAAAAAAAGAAAGAAAGAAAGGAAAGGAAGAGCATGTGGAAAGGCCCAGGAGTGAAACTCTAAGTAGATGTTAAGGCTTATGTTTTGAGCATAGTTTTAGAAGGAGGGAAAGAGTCTCAAACAATAAGGCCAGAAAGGTAAACAGGCATTAAATCCTAAAGGATTTAATTAAGGAGATTGACTTTTCTCCTGAGTGTATTACAGAGTCATTAAATTATTTTAATCTGGGAAGGATAGGATGTGATTTTTATATTAGAAGGGAAATCACTTGGCTGTACTACGGTGAGTGAATTAGGATCAAAAAGATTTGCTAGAGTGCTATTACAGAAAATAAATAAGAAATGATGGTAGCCTAGCCTACAGTAGCTACAGCAGTGGAAATGAAGACGGGAGGTAGATTTAAAAATTATTTAGAGGCTCGGCGCCTATAGCTCAACCTGCTGAGGCGCCAGCCACGTACACCTAAGGTGGCGGGTT